ACATGATTATAGCATGAGGGGCTAAAAAACCAAAGAGAATTGAATAAAACAAAAGAAAACACCAGCGATACTTAGCTCAATCAAAGTAGGATTTGCCTCCTCTTTGCCTCCCTCAGGACTCCAATGTCTTTGTCTGGCTGACGCTGAAGCTGACGCTCCAGGAAAGAGCCACCTAAGATGGACACCTGATTGCTGAGTTCTCACGGCTGTGGGGGCACGCCCCTCTAATTAGTTAACTCTCTTCAGCTGGTGGGTGACAGCAGAGTGTTCCTGCCTATTGTAATGCAGGGTTGAGGCGCGTGACCCACTGAGACCTGTGTTACAGGTTGAGTTGAGCAGATCTGAGATTTAAAATCTCTCAGAAATCACCGTTTTAGCTACAATAACTACAGAACAATTATACAGAGTAGAATAAATGAAACAGAGAAGTCTATTTAAACAAGAATATAACTTCTGTAAGTTATATTCTTGTTTAAATAGACTTCTCTGTTTCATTTATTCTACTCTGTATAATTGTTCTGTAGTTATTGTAGCTAAAACGGTGATTTCTGAGAGATNACACGTTTTTGGTGCCGATTGCGTGTGGACGGAAGACTTTTTTTATATCGAATTCGGTTCGTTTTCGTTACCGTCTCCGTGTGGCTAGAGTCTAAGAAATAAGATCTTTTACAACAATGCCCTGAATTAACAATCATACAGGCTACATGAAATAATAACAAATCTGCCAAAAAAAAGCATACAGTAAATTAAGAGGCAAGGCTAGTTTATTTATATAGGACCTTTCAACACAAGGCCATTCAAAGTGCTTTACAAAAAGACAGTAAGAGCATAAAGAAATAGTGCAGTGGAAACACATTATAAAATGGCATTTAAAAACAGTCATCTTCAAACAATAGAATGTAGAAATATCAAATAGAAAGAAGAAATTAAAACATTTATGCACCACAACCATATAATATAGCATAAAGAATATGAACTTTAAAGGATTTACTGACAAAACACAGACTTTATGACACTGTAGTCTAACCTGGTTTTCTTAAAACCTAAAGGCCTATGTGGAGAAGTGCAACGCTCAGATTTCTGACATTGTGGAGCTGGTGCGTGGGAAGCTGTCAGGAGGGGCGAGGATGACCCTTGGTGGTCTAACTGTTATAGATGTTCACGGTAAAGTAGCTTTTTATTTAAGGGGAATTTTAATATGCTGTCTTGATTTAATCTTGCACTTAATCTCATGCTTATTTCCTCTACTAGCTCGAGATGTTGTGGCGAAATTGGCAGAAGACGGCATCTCCTCCACAAACGACTTTGCGTGGATTTCTCAGCTGCGTTACTTCTGGGAGGATGGAGAAGTGATGCTGCGCATGATCACCACCTGTTTGAAATATGGATATGAATATCTGGGAAATTCCGGCCGTCTTGTCATTACACCGCTGACTGACCGCTGCTATAGGTATCTCACACTCTATCTCATCCCTTATCATTGCTATGAATGGAGAGCTACAATATACAATGTCATGGTACAAATATGGCAGATTCCAAAACCTTAGATTTGAAGTCCTATCATGGTTTTGATTAAATTACTTTGTGTCTCACCAGAACTCTTATGGGGGCTTTGAAGCTGTACTTGGGGGGGGCTCCTGAGGGTCCTGCAGGAACTGGCAAGACTGAGACCACCAAAGATTTGGCAAAAGCTTTGGCTAAACAGGTAAACCAAAACAGCTTTCAGTAAAATACTGACCTGCATTTAGTTTCTTTTTGCTTCTTACAACTCCCCTTTTGTTTTTTGTTTCTAGTGTGTGGTGTTCAACTGCTCCGATGGTCTGGACTACAAGGCCATGAGTAAGTTCTTCAAAGGACTGGCTCAGTCCGGAGCCTGGGCCTGCTTTGATGAGTTCAATCGTATTCCGGTGAGCACAGCCTTTGTTATGCAGGTCAAATGTGTGTATGTCTGCTAAATGACATGATCCAAATACTCCAAAAGTCATTGTGGATTTGGAATTAAATTTGCACACCCACCACAGTAACAACATGTGTTTTCCTCCAACACAGAAACCTCGCTAATTTTAGATCATTTGCAACTCAGCAGGATGTAGAGTTGCTGATTTTGCTTTTATGCCAAGTTGATTGGATTATATTAATAGAAGACTATCCTGACAAAGAGAGTAATTGACATATTGCAACAAACACATAACACTGATGCTAGTCTTCTAAAAAAAGGAGGAATAGAGAGAAATTACAGTACAGTATTCCTGTTTTGTCTGCATCACATTGGCTCTATTTTTCTTTGAATGATGTGAGACATATGCACCAACATTGATTTTCCTGTACCCTCAAGGTTTTTTATTTTTAATTACAAGGTTTTATTTTTAATTATTGGCAGAAGGAAAACAAGATAACACAGCTGCTTTAAATATTTAACCTGCACATTTGTACAATTCTGAATTACAATCCATGATGATGAATATTATATATTCTTATTTCTTAGTTACCGCTGAAGGCAGTAACAAAAACATATAATAATAACAAATGTGTTGACTTTAATAACCCATAATGTGTTTGTGTGTGTGTTACAGGTGGAGGTGCTCTCTGTGGTGGCTCAGCAGATCCTCTGCATACAACAGGCCATTGCCAAGGATCTGAAGACCTTCCTGTTTGAGGGGACAGAGCTGTCCCTCAACCCCACCTGCTCTGTGTTCATCACCATGAACCCTGGGTACGCTGGCAGGGCCGAGCTCCCTGACAACCTAAAGGTACATGTCACCGTAGCAGAGTCTTAAACATCAGCCTACAGAGAAGAATGACGGAAGAAGAAATGGGAGTAACGAAAAATATACACCTGTCAATCTTGTCTTGTAGGCTCTTTTCCGTACAGTGGCTATGATGGTGCCAGACTATGGTCTCATTGGAGAAATCTCACTATACTCTATGGGCTTCATTGAATCTCGCAGGTATAGCTCTATGTAGAGCTAGTATCTTTTTTTTTCGTCTAGTCTTTGCTCCCAGTTGAATTATTCCTCAAACCTCGTACTTCTCAATCTCCAGTCTTGCAGGAAAGATCGTGGCCACCTACCGCCTTTGCTCCGAGCAGCTGTCTTCTCAACACCACTACGACTACGGTATGCGAGCTGTGAAGTCTGTGCTGACTGCAGCAGGGAATCTGAAGCTGAAGTACCCCGAGGAGAACGAGAGCGTGCTATTGCTCAGGGCGCTGATGGACGTGAACATGGCCAAGTTTCTGGCCCAGGACGTGCCACTGTTTCAGGTGAGACACTTTGCCAAATCCAATTGTAATTGATACTGATGGTTTTTGCTCCTGAGTATACATTTGTTAATTTCTTAATACTTCTCATTGTGCTGCCAACAGGGTATCATCTCTGATTTATTCCCTGGCGTGGTCCTTCCCACACCAGACTATGATCTCCTCCTCAAGGCTCTTAACGACAACATCGCGAAGCTCAACCTGCAGTCTGTCCCATGGTTCATTGGCAAAATCATCCAGGTACCAAGGAGGAGAATCGCTTTGAAATACTTAAGACTCTTTATATTTGTTTTGCTTGTTGTTATACTCAGAATGTATGATTGTGTATTTGTAGGTGTATGAGATGATGTTGGTACGCCATGGTTTCATGATAGTAGGAGACCCTCTGGGAGGAAAGAGTTGTGCATATAAAGTTCTTGCTGCTGCCCTTGGAGACCTTTTTAAAGGTATGTTTCTCAGTCTCTAGATGTTTTTTAAATCGTATTTAGAAAATCATTGGAAAAGAAAGGATTTTTTTCTCTCCCATTTAACTTTTCAGCCCAACTGATGGAGGAGTTTGCAGTGCATTATAGCATCATCAACCCAAAGGCCGTCACTATGGGCCAGCTGTATGGCTGCTTTGATCCAGTCAGCCACGAGTGGTCTGATGGTGTGCTAGCAACCACCTACAGAGATCAGGCCATCTCCACCTCCGAAGATCGACAGTGGATCATCTTTGATGGGCCCATTGATGCTGTCTGGATTGAGAACATGAATACTGTGCTGGATGACAACAAGAAGGTACATACTTTCCACTAGTTCTCAATTCTGTCCTCACTGTTGGAGCCATAATGCATGTGTCTTTGTTTGTATTTTATCTGCACATTTAATTAATGATGCAGTTCCAACTTTCTACACAAGATGGAGTATTCACTTGTGTGTGTGTGTCCATGGTGTATACATGTAATCAGTGGGTGATCAGGTGCAGGTGTTTTGGAAGCAAACAGTTTTTGACCGTGTCGGCAGAAGCCGTGTCAATATGAGCTGTGTGTGTTAAACCTGTTTGTATTCAGCGTGACTGACGTGCATATATTGGTATCTGAATGGTAACAGAAAGGCTATATGGACAACAACATAAAAGGATCGATAGATTGAAAGTAATGTAATGTACCTGATGTACTTATATGATTCTGTTTTCTTCAAGTTTGTATTTTGTTGGTTTAACGCACTTATTGTAAGTCGCTTTGGATAAAAGCGTCAGCTAAATGTAATGAAGGATATACACTCATATGGACATTGTTTTGTCATCTGGAACACGCGTCCGAACATACTTCTCCCGTTCCCATCCCTCAGTGGCTTAAGTATGGATGAAGTTAAAAGCCACTCCACTCACTTTGGTATTTTTCTTACTGTTTTCCTTTTCTGTATATTAAAACAGTTTTATATCAAGAACTGCTGGCCAGATTTATTGAAGTGTGATGGTGTATATATATGGGATATTTACAGCCTTTATATAATATTCATCTGTTTTGTTCACTCTGCTAGCTTTGTTTGATGAGTGGTGAGATCATCCAGATGAGCAGCAAGATGAGTCTGATCTTTGAAACTGCTGACCTGGAGCAAGCCTCTCCGGCTACCGTCAGTAGGTAAGCAACACGGACAGAAGCTGAACCAGCACCTGCAGTGTAGCTACTGTAAATAAAGAGAGCCCACATGTTGAATCTGATCTGTGATTTGAAATGTTACCATCTGTCTGAAGGTGTGGGATGATCTACATGGAGCCTCATCAGATGGGCTGGACTCCTCTCAGAGATTCCTACATGAACACACTGCCTGAGAGCCTGAGCACTGAACACAGAACACTGGTGAGATTACAGTCAGGCATGTCTTAGTTGACTCAGTGTTGCTCAGATATAATAACCTTCATGTACTTGACAAATAATGTGTTGTATGACTTCTGCTTTTATCTTTTTCCCCGCAGATCGTGGACCTGTTTGATTGGCTAGTTCAGCCATGTCTGAACTTTATAGAAAGGGAGTGTCGCTTTGTGGTTCAAACATCTTTCATTCACCTGGCCTACAGTCTAATGAAGTTGTACACCTGCCTGATGGGTTAGAAATAATCAAAATAAATTTGTAATTTTTACTGTACATAGTCTTTTGTCAGTGTGTGTGTGTGTTAACTTTCCTTTCTATACCCAGATGAAATTGCTGCGTCAGGACCCAATGGCACCCCGATGACCAGCCAGCAGATAACCATGTGGCTGATGGGTCTTTTCCTATTCGCTCTTGTATGGACGGTGGGTGGGACCATCTCGGGGGACAGTCGAAATAAATTCAGCGTCTTCTACCGCAATCTGATCATGGGCCTGGACGAAAAAAACCCTAAGCCAAAGAGTATCCCACTCAAGAAGAACAACATCTTCCCTGAGAGAGGTGACTAAATCTATTAACGTATACAGTTAGTATAGTGCACCAATTATTGCCTTTTTAACATTTGAAATGCTTGATGTTTACCTATTGTTTTGCAGGCACTGTCTATGACTTCTTCTTTCATAAGGAAGGACAAGGACAGTGGAAAACATGGACTGATTCAATCACAAAGGAAGAAAACATCATTCCAGTTTCAGCCAATGTGAGTGTGTTTATGCTAGAGAGGTGGCCCCTACTAAACAGCCTCAATAAATGAGTTCACTTAAACTCTGCTTATGTTCACCAGGTGTCAGACCTCATCATCCCTACCATGGAGACGGCGCGTCAGCTGTTTTTCCTGCGCACCTACCTGGCACATGAAATACCCATGCTGTTTGTTGGGCCCACTGGCACTGGAAAATCTGTCATCAACAAAAGCTTCCTGGTAAAGCTGCCCAAAGAGCAGTACACACCAAACTGTATCAACTTCTCAGCCCGAACCTCAGCCAATCAGACCCAAGACATCATCATGGCCAAGCTGGACCGGAGAAGGAAGGGCGTGTTCGGACCTCCTGTGGGGAAGAAGTGTATCGTCTATGTTGGTACGGATGCACAAATAGCTAAAAGTGGATCATCAAGTTTTGATATGTATTTACTTTTCATATACAATTTGAAAATAATCTATTCTACATAGATGATCTGAACATGCCTACTAAAGAAATCTACGGTGCCCAACCCCCCATCGAGCTGTTAAGGCAGTGGGTTGACCATCGTCACTGGTATGACAAGAAGGACACCTCCAGGCTAAACATAGTGGACGTGCTGTTTATGTCCGCAATGGGACCTCCTGGTGGTGGGAAAAATGACATATCAGGTAATTAAAAAATGTTTTAATTCTTCATTTCATTAAAGGAAGCAGCAGATGAAATTGACAAATTGTTTGAAATGCTAGGCCGCCTCACCCGCCACTTGAACGTCATCTCAATTGATTCCTTTGATGATGAAACACTGACCAAGATCTTCACCTCCATTACTGACTGGCACTTCAGCAAAGGCTTTGATGCTTCTTTCTGCAGGTAACTTTTCAAATATGTATAAGAAAGTGAAACAGAATTATAGCAATGATGGTTGTCAGATATACATACTTTGTCTTGTATTATGTCAAAGGCTAGGCAAGATCATGGTCCAGGCCACCATGGCGGTCTATAAGGACACCATGGACAGCTTCCTCCCAACACCGTCCAAGTCCCATTACATCTTCAACCTACGGGACTTTGCTCGAGTGATACGGGGTGTGCTGCTGGCTCCACACACACACATGCAGGTAAGAGTGGAGACAATAGTCAAATGTTTGAATTGATTGTTTGAAATTGCTCTATTCCTCATGTCTCTTGGCTGATTTCGACAGGATGGAGACAAACTGATCCGTCTTTGGATCCATGAAGTTTATCGTGTTTTCTATGACCGGCTCATTGACAACGAAGGCAAGGAGACCTTCTTTGGCATCGTCAAAGAGAGAACATCAAACTTTTTTAAGCTGAGTGTGGAAAAGGTGCATATTTAATTATTGTGCATATTACATTTCATAAGTATGGAGAAATATGACTGCAGTTTTCTGGACACAAAACCCTTTGAAAAAAAAAAAGGGTTACTGCTGTTAACTAAATGTTATCCGACAACAATTTTTGCATCCACGTGCTAGTTCAAATGTACAAATCTAAGGATTCCCAACTCACAAAACAGCACTGCAATCACAAACTTTGTTTTCAGATGATCAGATTCAATTAACAAACAAACTGAGAAGCTGCTGCTACTCGATGTGAGGTAATGGCTAGCGGTGTAGCTTTAGTTTATAACCCTAAATCTTTCCTTTTTGTTTTCTAGCTCCTGAGCCATCTTAGCCCAGATGGCAAAGTAGCAGATGAGAGCATACGCAGCTTGTTCTTCGGTGACTATGCCAAGCCTGATGCTGACATTAAGGCATATGATGAAATCACAGATATGGCTGCTTTACAAGAAGTGATGGAGTTCTACCTGGATGAGTTCAACAACTGCAGCAAGGCACCAATGTCCTTAGTCATGTTCAAATTTGCCATTGAGCACATTTCCCGTATCTGCCGTGTGCTGAAACAAGACAATGGCCACCTTCTGCTCGTGGGCATCGGGGGCTCGGGGCGTCAGAGCACCACCAAGCTGGGCACCTTCATCAATGACTATGTCCTGTTCCAGATTGAGTTGACCAAGAGCTACAGCATGTCCGACTGGCGTGACGACCTGAAGAAGATTATGCTTAAAGCAGGCATCGAAGGGAGGAGCCTGGTGTTCCTGTTCAACGACAGCCAAATTAAGGATGAGGCCATGTTAGAAGACATTGACATGCTGCTTAACACTGGGGATGTGCCGAACATGTTTGCTGCTGATGAACGTGCTGAAATCATTGATAAAGCGCAGGGAATCGCCCGACTCGAGGGCAAAAAGATTGATGCCACTCCGCTCTCTATGTACAACTTCTTCATTGACCGTGTGAAGGTCAACCTCCACATTGTGCTTGGTAGGCGCCTTTATGTGACCTTTATTTTTTCTTTAACTTTCATTAAAGTGTTGGAACAGAGTGCCAGAGTGACGGGTCCTAAAACCCGGAAGTAAACTCCTTCCGGTTCCTTCGAAAAATAACCACATATCTACCCTACTTTTATAATTTTCAAATCATAAATCGAATCGATAGATTTATGATTATAAAATTATAAAAGTAGGGTAGACATGTGGTTATTATCCGGCTGAACAAAACGTGATCTGTCTCTTCAATTTGTGTCAACCACAGACCTTATTTCGAGCTATTTTACAAAATCCTATGGAGAAATTGCATTGTTTTTTGTCGAAGGAACCGGAAGTGGAAAAATGCTAACTTACCTCCGGGTTTTAGGACGCGTCACTGTGGCACTCTATTAACTGGGAATCATTCTATTCAACAGCTATGAGTCCTATTGGTGATGCATTTAGGAACCGTCTTAGGATGTTCCCCTCCCTCATCAACTGCTGCACTATTGACTGGTTCCTCGCATGGCCAAATGATGCACTAGAAATGGTGGCCCACAAATTCCTGGAGGATGTAGAAATGGACATGGATATTAGAATGGAGTAAGGACATTAAAATGATGCCAAAAAGAAATAATTGCAACAGCTGTCAAACAGTATCATGGAACTCATTTGCATCGAGCAATGTATACAATGCCTGTTTCTGTGATCTCAGGGTGGTCGAGATGTGCAAGACCTTCCAAACAAGTGTCGGAGAAATGTCTTTAAGGTACTTTTCCAGACTGAGGAGACACAACTATGTCACACCCACCTCCTACCTAGAACTCATCCTCACCTTCAAGACTCTGCTCAATGCCAAGAGGAATGAAGTGAACACCGCCATGAACCGCTACATCGTTGGTCTCGAGAAACTGGAGTTTGCTGCGTCTCAGGTGATGCACCCAAACAATATTATCCTGAATGAACGACCAAATGAATGATACTGACACTTCATATCATGTCCAAAGGTGTCAGTGATGCAGCTGGAGCTCACAGCCCTCCAGCCAGAGCTCATCAAGACTTCAGCTGAAACCGATCAGATGATGGTTAAGATAGAGGGGGAAACCGTTGAGGTGGATGCTAAGAAAGAACTTGTGTCCGCTGATGAGAAAGTGGCTAACGACGCAGCAGCTGCAGCCCAAGCCATCAAGGTATACATGTCATTTAAGAGAAATACTCTTTGCCAGTGCAGAAATGTCCAGTTAAAATATGTTTTCCTCAAACATACAGTATCTGCCATGTGTTTTCAAAAGAGCAGTGTTGTTGTTTGGATGTTTGGACACAGATTGTTTGTCTTTCAGGAAGAGTGTGAGGGAGACTTGGCAGAAGCAATGCCTGCACTTGAGGCGGCCCTGTCAGCCTTGGACACCTTGAAGCCTTCAGACATTACTGTAATAAAGTCTATGCAGAACCCACCGGGTCTAGTCAAACTAGTCATGGAGTCCATCTGCATCATGAAGGGCATCAAACCCGAGAGAAAACCAGATCCTAGTGGCTCAGGTAAGCTCGCAAGACTTAGAAAAATGGCGTCATGTCATTGAAAAAGCTCAATGTTGTATTATGAAAAAAATATTAGGCTCAATATAAGATATGATAACAGAATAAATATGTTGCAGGTAAGATGGTTGAGGACTATTGGGGCCCCTCGAAGAAGCTCCTTGGAGACCTGAAGTTTCTAGAAAGCCTCAAAGCCTACGACAGAGACAACATTCCCGCCCCATACATAAAAAAAATCAGAGACAAGTTTGTAGACAACCCCGAGTTCCAGCCCTCTATCATCAAAAACGTCTCCTCGGCTTGTGAGGGTCTCTGTAAATGGGTGAGAGCGATGGAAGTGTATGAGCGAGTGGCCAAACTGGTCGCCCCCAAGAAAGAGAGGCTGAAGCTGGCAGAGGACGAGCTGGCTGTGCAGATGGAGATGTTGTCTGTGAAAAGAGCCGAGCTGAAGAAAGTGGTGGACAGACTGCAGAGCCTTAATGATAATTTGACCGCCATGATTAACAAGAAGCAAGACCTGGAGGAGAACATTGAGTCGTGCTCTCAGAAGCTGATCAGAGCGGAGAAGCTGATTGGAGGACTGGGTGGAGAGAAGGACAGGTGGACAGAGGCTGCAAGGCTTCTAGGGATTAGGTATGTTAATACAAACATGTACAGTGTATTCATATTCACAAAGTCATGATCTGTGAAGTTTATTAATCTGGTTTTACTGTATTTATTTTCTGCAGATACATCAACCTGACAGGTGATGTACTCCTCTCTTCAGGAACAGTATCTTACCTAGGTGCATTTACAGTAGACTACCGTATAGAGTGCCAGGAGCAGTGGCATATCCTGTGCCAGGAGAAGAAAATCCCCTGCTCTGAGGACCTAACCCTTAGCAACACTCTTGGTAACCAGGTGTCTATCAGGGCCTGGCAGATTGCTGGACTACCAGTGGACTCCTACTCCACAGACAACGGTATCATCGTGTTTAACTCCCGTCGGTGGCCCCTGATGATTGACCCTCAAGGTCAAGCCAACAAGTGGATCAAGAACATGGAGAAGGCGAATAAACTTGCCGTCATCAAAATGTCTGATCCAAACTATGTGAGAGTCTTGGAGAACTGCATCCAGTTTGGAACCCCAGTTCTTCTGGAGAACGTGGGGGAGGAGCTTGATCCCGTACTCGAAACTGTGTTGCTGAAGCAGACCTTCAAACAACAGGGTGTGGAGTACATGAAGATTGGGGAGAATATCGTGGAATACTGTAAAGACTTTTTGTTCTACATGACCACCGGACTGAGGAACCCTCACTATCTCCCAGAGGTGGCTGTCAAAGTGTGTCTGCTCAACTTCATGATCACGCCACAGGGCCTACAGGACCAGCTTCTAGGGCTCGTAGCAGCCAAAGAGAAGCCTGAGCTGGAAGAGAAGAAGAACCAGCTCATTCTGGAGAGTGCTGCCAACAACAAGCAGCTGAAGGAAATTGAGGATAAGATCTTACAAGTGCTCTCCTCTTCTGAGGGGAATATCCTGGAGGATGAGACCGCCATTAAGGTCCTGTCATCCTCCAAAATCCTCTCTGAGGAGATATCAGAGAAACAAAAAATTGCCAGTGTCACAGAGAAAGAGATCGATGACACTCGGATGGGTTACCGCCCCGTGGCTGAGCACTCATCCATTTTGTTTTTCTGTATCTCAGAATTGGCAAACATCGAGCCTATGTATCAGTACTCCCTGAGCTGGTTCATCAATCTCTACCTGTACTCCATCGCCCAGAGTTTGATGAGCGATGATTTGGCTGAAAGGATCGGCAACATCGTGGAGCACTTCACTCTCAGCATTTATAATAACGTGTGCCGCTCGCTTTTTGAGAAAGATAAGCTGCTGTTCTCCCTGCTGCTCACTGTAGGCATCATGCAGGGTAAAGGCCAGGTTGACGACCAAGTCTGGCGCTTCCTCCTAACAGGGGGCATCGCTCTAGATAACCCATACCCCAACCCTGCCCCAGAGTGGCTGTCTGAAAAATCTTGGTCTGAAATCGTCAGGGCGTCCAAACTAGCAAACCTGGATGGTTTCTTTGAGCATGTCCAAGACAACGTGTCGAAATGGAAGAAGCTCTATGACTCAGGAAAGCCCCATAAGGACCAGTTACCTGACCGGTGGAGCGAGCTGGTGGGGATGGACAGAATGGTCGTGATCAGGTGCTTCAGGCCAGATAAGATGGTTCCAGCTGTGCAGGATTTCATTATGGATAACATGGGGCAGGCTTACATTGAACCTCCCACCTTTGACCTGGCAGGGAGTTACAAAGACTCCAACTGCTGCTCTCCTCTCATCTTTGTGTTGTCACCAGGATCTGATCCAACCGCAGGTGACTAATCATAAACATGATACTTATCTTTATTTAATCAAAGTGGAATATGGAATTAAAAACTAGAATTAAACTTGGTTCAAAGTGGACTTTTCTGGTTTTGTTATTGCCAAAAGTCTTAAAATATACTTATTTCTTTAGGTTTGCTGAAGTTTGCTGATGACGTAGAAATGGGGGGCAGTAAGACCCAAACCATTTCTCTGGGTCAGGGACAAGGACCCATTGCAGCCGTGATGATTCACAAAGCCATCAAAGCGGGCACGTGGGTGGTGCTGCAGAACTGCCACCTGGCCACCAGCTGGATGCCCGCTCTGGAGAGGATCTGTGAGGAAACCATCAACCCAGAGAGCACACACCCCGACTTTAGGTACGTCTCTACACAGTACTTTTTTCTCACACATGTTCATGCAGTAAAATACTAAAGAAATATATGTTCTTCTCCCCAGGTTGTGGTTAACCAGTTATCCATCCGACAAGTTCCCAGTCAGTATCCTGCAGAACGGGCTGAAGATGACCAATGAGCCTCCCAAAGGAATAAGAGCCAACCTGCTGCGCTCCTACCTCAGTCACCCCATCTCTGACCCCGCCTTCTTTGTCAGCTCCAAGAAGCAAGCCGTCTGGCAGAAGTTCCTGTTTGGTCTCACCTTCTTCCACGCTCTAGTGCAAGAGAGGAGGAACTTTGGACCACTAGGTAAGAAATGGAAACATTACATCTAGTTTAACGTTTGACCTTTTTGTGATACAATGTCTTTTTTTACCCTGGATGATTTAAATGCATGGTTTTCATTTTTGGTATTTGAAACCATTTTGTAATCATTTCATATATTCCTTGTTCCATTCATCTGATTAAATGTAAAACAATCCTGTTGCTGTTTCTCCATTTTCTCTCAGGTTGGAATATTCCCTATGAGTTTAATGAGTCTGACCTGAGGATCAGTATGAGGCAGATCCAGATGTTCCTGGATGAGTATGAGGACGTTCCACTGGAGGCCCTCACATATCTTACAGGTAAAACATATTGGCGCTTTCACACCGGAGTACTTTTCCCCGTACTTTTCCCTTTTAGTTCCGATAGTTCCTGGGATTTTGCGTTCACACCAAAAAGAGAACTTAGTTCATGAGAACTGTTACCCCATTTTTAGTCCCTGCTAGAGAGCAGGTACTTTCCTGGGGAGAAAAAAGTTCCAATTTCTATTGGCTGGGCGAATTGCAAATCACGCCCCGTAAAACTCGGAAAAGTTTTTGTGAAGCCGCCATTTTATTTGCTGGCATTAGCATTATTAGCATTAGCCCCGCGCACCAACAGAGAGAATAACTTATGGCAACACAAAAAAAAACATGGGAACGGTGGAGTGATGAGGAGGTGTCGGCGTTCTGGCGATTTACTCGGAAGGCTTCAGTAGAAGCTGCTGGGAGTCCCAGCAACTTGCTGGGAGTCCCAGCAACTTCTACTGAAGCCAGTCCCCTACTCCGGGGAGTTCCGGCCGGGGACTTCGGGTGGCAGTATACGCCGTGTTTGCGGCTTGCCAGTAAACGCAAAGCAGAAGAAGAAGAAGTGACATCAGCGACTTAATTTGCGTAATCTTCCCTCAGGGATTTATTCCGGTGTGAACACGATCGGCTCTTTAGTTCCATGGGGGAACTAAGAGCTCGGAACCAGTGGCGTAACTTACGACGGCGCAGCCGGTGCAACGTAACCAAGCAACCTAAATTAATTTGTCTGTCCAATGACCTTGCTCCCTTTCATGACATGTGATACCTTGCGTGACGAGCGAACCGTTTAATCAACCTGTACTGTACTGTAGCTAGCAGCAGCAAGTTCGGTAGGATTATAAAAATGTAATAGCAAACCAAAGCACAAGAGCAGCACTAGAAAGAGAAAGGACAAGAGAGAACAAGGAGATGTAACAGCTAAACTGACGAAATTAGACAGTTTTTTTTTGTCATACATCATTCTCGAAATCGAACGCTAATGTTAGTAATGTTGACGTACAGCGGCAGCCGGAGCCGGAGGCTAACGATAGCTCACCTGCCTCACCGTCCATCATTGCCATCTAGCTTCACAAGTGAAGCTATATCCGTGGCCGTGGCTGTGCAACCTTCTTCTCCAGCCAGCCAGGAGGAGAGGCTGGATTTGGCTGTGCCCGGCGGTGGTCCAACAGTTCCCCCAAGGGCCCCAACCGATAGGGGGCTCCATGGCGCTATTGAAACCCCGACACCAAGATCAAAAGCTATATTATAGCAATCGGTCTATTTCGGCATACCGGCCCATTCCCCAGAGACAAACATCAAGGAAACAGGTTTAATCCTCTTCTTAGTTCGTTGTGTTGTTGTCAGGCTGTGGTGGTCTGAGGCCAGGGAAGGCTGTTGTTGATAGTCTATACATGTTGCGCTTGGTTGTGTATGTCCATGCGTGCGTGAGCGCGTCAGCGTGCGCTTATGTTTGGGGCGATGGGTCGCGATGCAAAATAATATTTGCACCGGGGCCAATCACAATCATGATATCTTGAAGCAGACATTGGATCTGTCCATTTAATAATCCCTTTATTCCTCTTCTTAGGTGAATGCAACTATGGCGGCAGGGTGACAGATGACAAAGACCGGCGTCTGCTGATGTCGCTTCTCTCCGTCTTCTACAGTTGGGACCTGATAGAGAAGGAGTGCTACCACATGTGTGAGGGAGATCTGTATTATGTCCCAGGTCACGGCCCATATCAGGTACTGTGAGAGCTCTGCTAATTAATGCCACTGAGTAATACATTTTTTTCAGTCATGACAAGGAGTAACCGTCTCACGATGCAGCCTTGTGTTTCAAATAAACACAACAGCAGCAGATCGCACTGATTACCCAGAGGAGGATTAATGGTTTTAATCATAGTGTTATACTAGTCTGGACTCTTAAATGTTTGGCCTTGAGGGCAACGTGTGGAAGATCACTATAAGAACTGAAGCACTTTTTCAATCATCCTATCCCATAATGAAATGAATGTTAAAAAACGATTTTCTCTTTCCCAGACATATGTAAACTACATTCGCGGTCTTCCGATTTGTGCCGATCCTTGTGTGTTCGGCCTTCATAGCAACGCTGACATCACGAAGGATAACCAGGAGACCAATCAGCTGCTGGATGGAGTTCTGCTGACGCTGCCCAGGCAGACCGGCGGCGGGGCCAAGTCTCCTCAGGTTTGTTTATCTGAAAGCACTCACACTTTCATTTTACACTCTTGGCTTGCAACTTATTTCCCCGAGGAAACACTCCATGAAACCTCGATGTCTCATATTCACGCTCAGCGCTGTCGTCTCTCTGTTGCAGGAAGTAGTGGATGAGCTTGCAGAAGACATTCTCTCCAAGCTGCCAGAAGACTTTGACATACAAATGGTGATCGAAAAATACCCAGTCATGTACGACGAGTCCATGAATACTGTTTTGAGGCAGGAAATCATCCGCTTTAACAGGTAATAACAACTGTTAGAAAAGACAAACATGTATTACTAATAACTCATGTTTCTTAATCGTTTTGTGCGGGACACTGATAAAACATGATTACTTGACGAAATGAATCCCCCCCACTCCTTAGACTCACTCTCGTGGTGCGGGTCAGCTTGGTAAACATCCGCAAAGCTCTGAAGGGACAGATTGTTATGTCTGCCGAACTGGAGAACGTCTTCAACAGTATGATGGTGGGCAAGCTGCCCGCTCTGTGGGCTGCCGTGTCATACCCCTCCCTGAAACCAATGGGGAGCTACGTGACCGATCTGCTCACCAGGCTGCAGTTCCTACAAGTAAGAGTTATGATTGTTATGGATCACACTGACCCTGCGCGAAGGTAAGATATGGGGAATATGACTGGCAAGAGGAATGCAGCACATATAAGAAGCCCAATAGCCTTATTGGGTACAGTCAGTGTTTGAGAATACCTTTTTTTTTTTTTTTTAAACTGATCCTTGACATTTGGAATGTAGTAAAGCACCATTGGTTTTACAGGTAGCAGATTACATTGCATTTTTATAAAACAATATGTATGCTTGATTGTTTTTTTTAAAGGATTGGATAGATGACGGCCCGCCTGCAGTCTTCTGGCTCTCTGGCTTCTACTTCACCCAGTCATTTCTAACAGGAGTGGCTCAGAATTTTGCCAGGAAGTACACCATCCCCATAGACTTCATTGGCTTCGAATTTGAGGCATGTAACCTTTTTTCTAACTTTTCTCAGTGTTTTTGTTATATTAAATCGTAATATTTGCATATAAGAATATAGGTTGGATATTAATGCTTGTGGTTGTGTTCCAGGTTACCAAAGAGGAGAACCATATGGAGGAGAAGCCAGAGGACGGGGCTTATGTTAAGGGTCTCTTCATGGAGGGAGCGCGCTGGGACAGAGAGAAGATGGTGATTGGAGAGTCCCTCCCCAAGATCCTCTTCGACTCTTTGCCCATCATTAAGCTCAGACCTGGAGATATGTCCAAGTTCCGACATGAAGACCTCTACGTCTGTCCTGTATACAAAACCAGCGCTCGCAGAGGGACCCTGTCCACCTCCGGCCACTCCACCAACTACGTCATGTCCATCGAGCTGCCCTCTGACAAGCCTGAGAAACACTGGATTAACCGCGGGGTGGCATGCCTCTGTCAGCTGGACGACTAAGAAATAATGACTATTAAAAAAAATGTGTAAATGCCAAAGAAAGCTTATGTGTTTGTATGCCAAAGACACATGTGGAGGGACTTGGACATATCTCTAGGTCGTAAGCACATATTTGCAACCATGACAATCAAAACTATGCATTCTTTCAAAGTGAATGACAATGAAATGATAATCATTTCTTAAAGAGGACATCATTCTCTCAGCGTGAATATTAGAGATTGGCGATTTTTTTCTTTATTTTTGTGAACACAATACCTCAAGAACGCCTAGAGAGAATTTCTTCAAACATCCCGTTGGACTCAAAATTGAATACGATTATGGGGTCATACGCAGATCAAGGTCACCGTGATCTTACAAAACACATCGACATACTGTACCTCAAGAATACATTTTCTAATTTTATACATTTCCCACAAATATCTAATAGGATAATATAATAAATTGATTACAATGTGGACAGACATGGATTTACTCTGCAACTAAACTGTTTGGTTGATAGTATATTTGCACATATTTTTCCAGTACAATCCAGATTATTGCAGTCAAATGGCTCAGATGGTTTTAAAACAAACCCTCATTGTGGATAATGCTATACAAGCTCTACTGTAAACAAAATATACTTTGTTTGGATTTGGAGAATATATGTATTTTTTAAACTCTAAAACATATTATATTTCAAATGTGTTTCGAGCTGGTGCTGATATATTTGCTCTTTCATGCACTTTACTCTATATTTTTATATTCGATATGGTTTTTCTGTTATTAATGGGTGATGGGTTTTTGCAATATGTCCTATATCCCTTGATAATCAAATCAACATAATGTCAAACAACAGGATGATTTCACTACTTTTAGTGCTCTCTCAACTCAGTAGTTAGTTCTGATGTCAAACACTAGATGGTGGCAAAGGAAAACCAGTTGGTTACAGGGATCCTTAATGGTACCCGCAATGATGAATGTCCTCACTACATCTCCATTCCCATACCAATAGTATATTTTAATGTATAGCACAAACAGTGTGCCATCAAGTGAAAATATATGGTGTATGGGTGGGTCTTAATTTTGAGAAACAAGACCACAAAAACACCACGTTTTGTACATATGGGTTACCAACAAATTAATGACCTTATTGCTTTGGTAATAAAACATATTTAAACTTCTCATCTATGACACACATTTTTGTTTCCCTTTCAGATTAAGGACTGAGAAGTTGTGCGCACAGTAAGAGCAAAACTGGTTGTAATAAGTGCACCTCACTCGCCATCACTGATCGAGGTCTGGCTGGTAGTGTGACAACGATTTTCTGTCCTGACAAAGCAGATTCATGACTCAATAATGAAATAGGGTACAGGATGAATGCTGTTCTCTCCATATGACACACATGCCACAAATCACCACTGAGCCTTTTCATGCTGAACCTAATTCAACCACAACTTTGTGAAAGGAATGTTAAAACCCAAGTGGCATAGTTTCCCCAACCTATAACTATAACTTGGTGGTGCTGCCTGGCTGCTGCTGTATTAATGTCAGCAACGCTTGATCAACGTGTAGCCAGCATTTGTGGGTTTAAACATAATTAATCTGCCATTTACTGCACCAATAGCCTAGATTATAGGACTTGAAAATACTGCAACATTAAACTATATGAAATGCAGCTGATGGAGGCTACCGTGAGTCACGTGACGGATGCTACTAACTTCAGTGGTGTGTTCGGCATTAATGGAAGCCATACATCTCCACCTGTTATTAATGGACATCTGACCCTGGGGTCCAGCCTACAGATCCAGTTTAGCCCTCTTCTCAAAACAGTTTTGTCCTCTGTCTTGCCCCTTCAGGCCTCCTTAAGCTAATGTGTAAATGTCCTCCAGAAAGATTCCCCTGGAATGCTAGACGGATGATTTCCCTTTAATGGAAATGAGCAAACTAAACTGCCAAGAGCAGGAAAACACAGACATGTCCTCCAACACTTTACCAGTGTCACACCTTGCATTACATCACACTCAGTTTTCTGACCAAGGGCACTCAACTTTTATTGCAGCCATTAAGTTATGTTCATGTGGAGCTGATAATGTGTATTTTATTAAAGGGGAATAATACTGAAAATTGAGGGGAAGATGAATCACATAAACCACACAGCACATTAGTTTTGCACCAGCCTTGATTTGGGTAAGTCTTGGTTTACCTGTGTGTCAACAAACAAAATCATTTCAGCTATTTAGAGCATGATGTTTGTTTTGCAGAGTCACAGCAACTCAGTTCAGGGAATGTGGACACCAGTCTGCAGGACAAGGATGCACCGCTCTCTGTTCTCACTGAGAATGTATTAAGTTGTAGTAATTGGATTTCGGGCAACAAAAAAGAGAACGCTAATTAATTTTATTTGGCATTTACCCTTGAGGAAGGCATCTTGGCATCCATCCCCGAGCAATGCATGTTTATAGGTGACTAATACATCAGACATTACAGTTATAAATGTTAATTATTCACAAGTGTGATGTCTGTGGTTATGAAAGTCAATAGGTGATGTGTAGATGGTTTCAAAATAAGTCCATAGTTTACGAGGCTTTTAGTTGGCTTGCATCAATGTGTTCATAATTGTAGCTAAACGGTGATTTCTGAGAGATTTTAAATCTCAGATCTGCTCAACTCAACCTGTTACACAGGTCTCAGTGGGTCACGCGCCTCAACCCTGCATTACAATAGGCAGGAACACTCTGCTGTCGCCCATCAGCTGAAGAGAGTTAAATAATTAGAGGGGCGTGCCCCCACAGCTGTGAGAACTCAGCAATCAGGTGTCCATCTTAGGTGGCTCTTTCCTGGAGCGTCAGCCAAGACTGACAAAGACATTGGAGTCCTGTGGGAGTAAGACTGACAAAGACATTGGAGTCCTGTGGGAGTAAGACTGACAAAGACATTGGAGTCCTGCGGGAGTAAGACTAACAAAGACATTGGAGTCCTGCGGGAGTAAGACTGACAAAGACATTGGAGTCCTGTGGGACTCACGAGGGAGGCAAAGAGGAGGCAAATCCTACTTTGATTGAGCTAAGTATCGCTGGTGTTTTCTTTTGTTTTATTCAATTCTCTTTGGTTTTTTAGCCCCTCATGCTATAATCATGTGTATTTTCTCCATTGACACTTTGCTCTACAACCGTAAGTCACTCCTCGCGTACACCCTATGCTGTCTTCTGTCCCGGCCAATAACTAGTTACATCCGTCTATGTGGCCCCCGGTCACTATCTAACGCTCTGCCTGTGNAAAAAAGTCTTCCGTCCACACGCAATCGGCACCAGAAACGTGTCCGTCCACACGAGACCGCTCGACCCGCTGTAGTACATATGCCGGGTCTGTAAGTAGCACTGTACCTCCGCCACAAAATACACCAAAAGCAGCGAAGAATACTTCACGAGCATGCATGGTTGCCCTTCTGTTTATTCTCCGAAGTGGATTTAGCAGCAGAGGTGGGGAGAGGCAGGGGTCAGGGCTCTGGCTCTTTTTCTCCCTCCCCGAGGCAAGCGTGTTCTCCTGCTGTACATCTCCCCGGTAGTCCACCAGATGAAAAACACCCACCTCTCCGCCTCTTCCAAGGGACGAGGGGAACGTGCGGCAGATTTCCGTTAGAATTTTTTTTCGTCGGTCAACATGTCCGTTAAAGTTTAAATCTTCTAGACAAAATTATAAAAGTGCCGTTCAAAGGTCTTCTTTGTTATTTATTGAGCTTTAAAAACAAATGAATAACGACTCTATATAATAATATAATAATAATATACGGACTGTCTCTTTTCCTCCCCCTCTCCTGACAGCCCGTCAGTATTTTCGTTATGAGGAAATGATCGTATAGGGCATAATCACAGAGCCGTTTGGCCCACCCCAGAGCGTTGGGTCCGCAGATCTACCCACCTTGGGACCTGTTATCGTTATCTGCGTTTCCGTGTCGGCCACGTTTATATGATAGAGAACTGTAGCGGATACGACAGATAACGATAACAGGTCCCAAGGTGGGTAGATCTGCGGACCCAACGCTNCACACATTTTCACCACATTTTTTTAAAAAAATTTTAAAAGGCTTCCCTTTTCTTTTTTCCCAAAAGGCGAAAGGGAAAATTTTAACTTTTGCCCAACAAGTTATTCCCTTGTTTTTTTTCCTTCCGTTAAAAAAAAAAAGGGGGCTCTTTTTACCCAAGGGTTAAATTTCTTGGGAGGCCACCCCATTTTTATTTCAAAAGGTGGGGGCCCCAACCCTGTGGGGGGGTTTTGGAAAAACACCCCCCAACGGTTTTCAATTTCTTTAACCCCGGCCAAAGGGTTAAGTTCCAAACCAAAAAAATTTTTTTGATTTCAAAAAAAAAAAAGGGAAACGGGAAAACTGGAGGGCTAAGGGGAAGGTGTTTTTTTTTTATAGGGGAAAATTTCATTTGGGGTTTTTTTTTAACCAAAAAGGGGGGGAAGGGGGGGTTTTTGGGCCTCTTGCGGGGAAGGGTAAAAATTTAGAATTTTTAAAAACGGGGAATTTTAATTTTTGAAAAAGCACCTTCGAAAAAAAAATTGCATTTTAATTCCCAAAGGGGCTCCCCCCAAAAAGGGGTCACTTTGGGCAAAAAAAAAAAGGAAAAGGAATATAAAAAAAAAAAAATAAAAATTAAAAAAAAATAATATTTTTTAATTTTTTTTGGCGTTTTTATTAAAAAAATCATAAATATAAAAGTTTTTTATTTTGGGCCTGGGGAAAATGGGGTTTTTGACTTTATGGGGACTGTAAAAAAAAAACCAAAAAATTCCCTTTTTTTTTTGCCCATTAAACTATAAAAAGGTTTTTTTCTTTTTCTGAACAAAAAGTTTGGGGGGGGGGGAAAAATGGTGTTAAAAAGTAAATTGGGGGACCAAAAAAAAAAACCCCAATAAAAAACCCAAGGGGGATTTTGGGCAAAAAAAACGGGGAAAGGGGGGAGTTTTTCTTTTAGGGGGGGGAACATGGGAGCCTTTAATATTTTCTCTTCAAAGTTTTTTTCCTTTTTGGGGGGCCTCCCGGCTTTATTGTAGCACGGAAAGGGGGCTTTTAAAAATTTTGTTTTTTATTTTTGGCCAGGGGCAATTTTTTTTTTTTGATTCTTTTACCCATTTTTTTTTTGGCGGAAAATTTTAAAAACAAAAAAAAATTTTTCCCAACCAAAATTTCAAAAAAAAGCTTTCCAAGGGAAAAAAAAAACAGAAATTACAGTTTTCACAATTTTCCTTGGGGGGGGGGAGTATTTTTTCCCACTAAAAATTTCCAACTTTTTTTTGAAAAAAAGGGAAAAAAGGGGAAAGCTGTGGGGGGCTTAAAATATTTTTTGAATTTTTTTAAAAAAGGGAAAATCCCATTTTTAAAGGGAGGGGGGGGGCAATTATGTTTTTGTTATTTTTTGACCCCCCCAGGGGGGGGATGGGTTCCATGAAAAAAGGGTTTCCTTTCGCTGCCTAAAAAAAGTGGGGGCTTTACTTTTTTTGCTTTTTTGGGCCCTTTAGGGCTTCCGGTTTTGGGTTTTCCTTTTCTGGGCAGGGGCCCCCCACTTGCCCTTCTTTTTTTTTTTTTTTTTTGGGGGTGCTATTTAAAACCAAAAAACCCCTTTTTAAAACTTTCTAGGCCACACCCAACACTTTTTACCCTCCCCCACCAACCCAAGGGTTGGGCCGAAAAAAAAAAAACCCGTTCCCCAGGGGCCCCCTCTAGGGGGGGGGGGGCCTTTAAAAAAAGGGGGATTCTAAAAAAAAAAAAAAAAAAATTAAAAAAATATTTTGAAAAAAAAAAAAACATTTTAAAAAAAAAAAAAAAAAAAAAAATTTTTAATTTAATTATTTAAAAAATTTTTTTTCTCAAATTAGGGGGGGTTTTACCAAAAAATAAACTTTAAATTTAATTTTTTGTCTATTTTAAAAATAAAAAAAACCCATTTTTCCCAAAAGGAAATAAAAAAAAATTTCCTTTGGGGGAAAAATCCCAGGGCCTTGTTCAAGTTTTTTTCTGGGGGTTTGGGAAATCTTTTTTGGAGGTGGGGAAAAAAAGGGGGAATAGGGGGGGGAAAAAAAGGGGGGCTTTGATTGGGGTGGGGGGGGTTCCCAAAAAAAAAAAAAAG